GTTCACAGCAAGCTTTCTCATGTCTTGATCATAATCTTGCAAATACTGGTATTAGAAACATATGTTGAGCAGAAACTAATAGGGTTAACTCTTCCACATCTGAACAACAAGTTTTCATAGGTACTGATGAGTCTTCTGGTAAGTTCTGGAGAAGCAAATTCTTCAAGTCTCAAGCTTCCCAAATATTGAGGAAGGATTGCGGCAACATAATCACTATGAATAAAACCACTAGAAGAGAGAGCTTGCAATTCAGCACCAGTCAAGGCCTTTTCCCTGATAAATTTGAAGATGAAATCAGTTTCCAAGTTGGTGGTACGGGAGAGCAATAATTTTTGAACTCTATCACACATGATGAAAGCAGCTTCATAGGCCAATACCTTTTTCACCAATTCGATGGCTTCCTTCTTTTCAATACCTTTGAATGCACCATTAGCAATATCATTTACTGAACCAATGTAAGGATCCTTCTTGAAAATGAGTGGAATCCATTCGTCGAAGAACTTTTGGTATAATTCTTTAACGTGTTTTGGTTGTTTCTTGTATCTTCCCAAGTTCAATACATCTCTCAATATTTGAGGATTTCCTTCAGATTCAATTTTGTTTATCATAGATTGGAAGAGAATTTCAGAGACAACCTTGTGAATTTCTGGCTTCAAGGTAACACCATAGAGACCAATAAAGCCCATATCGTTAAACTTGGCAAAATTGGAAGTTTTCTCAATGAGGAACTTGAGAACTGTAATATCATCCTTATAATAACGGAAGACTGATGAGAAGAAGTTTCTGTAGTACCATGGAGCCTCTGACTTTTTGGCAGTATTTTCCAAGAGAGTGTGTAAAGCTTCTCTATATTCTTCATTCTTGTAAAGAGAAAAGATTTTTGTAGCAAAGAAGATATCACTAGAAAGGGTTGAAATGACAGTAGGAATTGATTCGACATCATTCTTCAAACGAGAATCCATAAATTCCAAAGTTTCCTTAACTCTCTTATTGTGCAAGAGAGAACAGAAGAACAAGTCAAGTAAAACATTGAGTCTGACATTGGAATTAGAATTTGAGCAAGATCCTTTAAATTTCTTATAGGAAGCTTCTTCTTCAACCATATTCATATATCTCCAATATCTGGATTCTTGATCTGGAGTGGAAAAGTCTTTCAACTTTCTAACTTCGTACAATTTGGTAGCGACACTGTGGATAACAGGGAGTGGGAAGTATTTCAAAAAGCTTGGAATATCAGTTGATGGTTGAACATTTCTAAAGATCCAATCACTCAACTTTTCAACAGTAGCACCCTTAGCAACCAACTTGCTAATGAGAATGACAACCTTCTTGGCATCTCTGTTATCGTAAACTTCGAATGATCTCAAAAAGGCACTTGATTCTGGTGAAGTAGCATAATTTAAAGTTTCAAGCTTCTTCAAATAAATTCCAGCAACATCTTCGATGGAGAACATTTTCAAAAGTTGTGAAACGTTGAGTTGAATCTTGGATTTGGAATTGATGCATGACTTGAAGGTTTCTGGGAAGTTTTTAACCTTGAGCAACAAGTAGGATTGAACAGCATCAACTGGAATATCTTCCTTGAGAGCATATTGTACAAAGTATTCATCAATGATGGCAAAGGCAAGTGTTGGATTAACCTTGCTCAATGTGTTGAAAACCGATGAAAGTTCATTCAAGGTAGCAATCAAGAGATTCCACAATGAAACTTGTGGAACAGCTCCCTTGATAGTCTTATCCAATTCTTGTCTAATAAACTTGGCAACAACTTCTGGATGCTTTCTAACAATTACTGATCCTTCGAGAGTTTCAAGTTTTAATTCATTCAAAAGTTCCAAAATTGCTTCACTTGGTGTCGATGATGGCAAATGAGAAAGTAAAACAACACATTCCGAAGGTTTAACCTTTCCAATAATCTTCTTAACAACATCAAGAATCAAATTCTTGCATTCATTACGAATAGTCTTTTCTACTCTCACTCTTGTGTGTTCACTTAAATTTTCATCATCAAATAAATTCAATAATTCTTCATTAGTAAATACTTGATGAACGTGAGCAGCAATCAAATCACTCAAGGTTCTCGATTGATCAGCCAATAACAAGGCTCTCAAACCACTCTTATTAACTTGTTGGTGGATTGCCAATTTGACACCAATACGTTGATCTCTGATGAGTGGAGTCTTTGATGAATCCATCAAATCTACAACAACTCTTTCCAAGGCACTTTTATCATCCCCGAATCTTGTTTTGATCAAATCCTTGCTACCCAAAAATCTTTCTTGAGCAACATAGGACGATGATGATTCGGTGCCAGCTTGTTTTCCAACTTGTTCCAAAGCTTGCAAAAATTCAACAGATGAACCAATAAGAGAGGAGTGGGACATTTTGTAATAAGTAATAATAAATTAATTGGATGATGAAGATTGTTGTTGATTTTTTTAAGCTGTGGTTTAAAAGTGAAGTATTTGAAGATTTCTTGCTAGGTTACAAGAAGGTTAAAAGTGGCTATTAAAAGCTTGCGGTTGAGGAAGTTGCTGGAGTGAAATTTAACCTTCATTACAGTGGGAATCTAACACTCATAATGCAGGTATAACGATATGCAAGACTAACGAAGACCATTTATGAAGGATACTCCTGTTGAATCAAGTCAAATCAAACATAATGTTAAATACTTGTTGTAAAGCTTGCCTCTTTTGGTAGCTGTTAATTGTAAAGTGTGAAAATATTAGTAAAGAATGTTGCACGCGGTATTACTGATCGTTTTGCTCAAATTTGCACATTGATGATTCATCACAAATAATATTGACAGATTTATTTGAATGTTGAATGTGTTGTAAAATTTATTTTTGATTTGGGAAGATTGAATCCAAACCTTTTCTGCTCTTATCTTGATCTCTGACATAGGTAAAATTAGTAAATTCGGCTACTTGATTTTTGGCAACCTTTGATTTGGAGAGAACAGTTGGGCTATTAACACCAGGTGTACCAAATTCATCAAAGTGGGTTGTATCCAAATCAGATTTGACATCAGGTGTGAATGGAGCTTGTTTGGATCTGACAGTATACCAATCAAATCCGTTGAAGAATGGATGTTTCTTGATAATATCAATTCCTCTTGATTTATCATCTTCTGATCCCAAACGTTTGTCAGTGTCACATAATAAATGTTGAAGTAAATCTTTAGCATCAGCACTAACATTAATATCATCAGGGAATTCCAAAAAGTGTTTCCATCTGACAATCTTTTGACATGTCTTGATTGGATCATCAGCATAGAAAGGTGGATAACCATAAATCATTTCGTACATAATTACACCAACAGACCACCAATCACAATCATATCTGTATCCCTTCTTTAACAAAACTTCTGGAGCAATATAACCAGGTGAACCAACAGTGGAATATAACATTTTTCTACCTTCAATCTTCCAACTTCTCATCTTTTCTCTTCTAGACAATGAGTCAACCTTGTCAATTGGACCTTTTTGATCATTTTGTTGAGCTTGTTTCATTTCTTCTTCACTGACATCCTCGAATGGATCTTCATCAAAAGGCTTACACAATCCAAAGTCAGTCAACTTGATGTGACCTCTAGAATCGAGTAAAATGTTATCTGGTTTCAAATCTCTGTGTACATAATTCATTTTGTGAATAGATTCAACAGCAAGAATGAGTTCTGCAATGTAGAATCTTGTTTGTTCTTCCGTGAAAATTTCCTTCTTTATCAACCAAGTCATCAAATCTCCTCCCTGTAAGAATTCCATACCCAAGTAGAGATTGTCATCATCTTGGAATGAATAACGTAAATCTACAATCCACTGTTAATGTTTAAATTTGTATATTGAATACAGTTCCATATGATATCATATGAAAAGTTTGTCATCCATTATATATCCAATAATACAACATCATCGTCACGTGATATGATGAATAATTATTAAATATATTATCAAATATTATATAATAAAATTGTCAATTAGAAGAATACATTATATAGTTGTTGGTAAATATTACAGAGGAGAGAATAAAAACAATACATACAGGATTATTAGAATGGGCCAAAATGTCTCTTTCTGCTCTAACGTGGAGAATTTGCTTCTTCTTCATCATTTCCTTCTTGATCAACTTTTTCAAAGCCAAAACTTCCTTTGAATCCTTCTTTCTGACTAACATTACTTCTCCGAAAGCACCTCTACCAATAACCTTGATGACATCAAAATCAGCCAATGAAAGACGTGATTTAAGAAGATCAGTCCAAGTGGATACACCTTCCTTTACCAGTTTTTGTGAACCATACTTTTCCTTGAGGATGGCTTTAGCAATTTGGGATCTACTTTGTGTTTCTTCAGAGATGGTAATATCCAAACTACCTTCACTACTATCACTATTACTCATATTGTTGATAATTTATAATTTTGATGATGACGAATACACTCTATGATTATTAAGATACTCAATGACAATAATAATACACTCTTTGCAATCTCTTGATAATTTTACAATATGTACAACACTACAAAATTCTCCTCTATAATAATATATTCAAAGACGACAACGACACAACAAGTCAAACAACAACACGTGCAGAGAGAATCGTGGTGATTGTGAAGATGAAATTTTTTTCTTGTTGGAAAAATTTCTCTTGAAAGGTTTCTCAATTCAGCAAACTGGCTGGACAGATGCTTGACAATGGGATGACGAGAAGGGACCAAGTTTGGAATGATACTTTCACAGTTGGGAAATGGAAATTAGGTGCTGATTGTAGAAGAGTGGAAAAGGATGAGGAAGGTATTGTTTTTAGATGGTATTTCATTAAGAGTGANAGAGAACAAAGATCAAGATGATTATGGCTCAATTGAGTATGTTTTACTTTAAGATTGAATGGGTAAATTGCAAGGTTTTGGTATTAGTTTGTGGAAATAGGATAATAATCAAACCTTTTGGATGATAATAATTGTCAACTGTTATCAATCGAGTGGTTCTTTGATTGTAATGAAGTGAAATTTACAAATTCTTCTTTGCTTTGGATGATAACATGGAAGAGGCAGTTTCCACCATCTTTTTAGACATTAAACCAAACCAATAAACATTCAAAATACTAATATTGGCAATTTGAATGTACAGAATGGAGGCAAAATAGAATGAATGTTGGAACATCTTGTCATGATTCACATAGATGAGGTAAGGTCCAAATAAAACGAATGGCATTCTACACATTCCAAAAACAAGCCAAATGAGAACATTATTCATGAAATAGAATGGTGATTCCTTCAATCCACAAGCCAACAAGAACCATCTAGCATTGACAAAAGGAGTGGAAACCTCCAAAATGGAATAGTAACATAAAACTACCCAATATTTGTCACAATACCAAATACTGAGAATACCAAAGAGAACAAATCCGTGATGGAACCACATGGCAATTCCTCCGAGTTCTAATGATTGTTAGAATTTTAACAATGGCATGATAATAATATTTCATTATTAATATTAAGTGGCCATGTAGTAAAGACATTGTTCATGATGATGGTGAAATAATCAATTTGAATAATTCAGGAAAGAGTTCAAAAATATTTGTGAAAGCAACAATGTTCATGATTGATGAAGATAATAATAATTAATAGGAGAATAGAGTAACCCATTACATTCAATAAAACTTGAAAAACTTACTTGGATATCTGAAAATCAGAACCAAATCATATAAAAAGTATCCTCCAGCATAACAAACGGCAAATCTTGACATTTTCGTTGCTTCATCCATTGAAAAAGTAGGGAAAGCATTCTCTATAAGGATGCAGTAACATGACAAGAGGACATACAACACAGCATGTACATTACTAACCATACGACTATTCCACTCAATCTTGGTTTCTTCACTTCCTTCACGGTATGATTTAAAAGTTCTGGATATGAGTGGCGAAATAACCAAATAAACCAGCGTATGAAACAGAATACTATTCACGAAAGAGACCAAACAAATAGTGTAATCTTCCGTCCATTGACTATATACATTTTCTTGCAGTTGGAAAGTTAATTGAGATAAGGCAACAGAAGCCTTTCCTTCCAATAATTGTTCAAACATTGTTATTGCTGATAATGATGATGGTGATGATGAATATTCAAACTTGACAGTTACTCTTGCAATCAAAACAGTCTGCTGCTTTGATTCTTCTTAGTGATAGAGTGAGAGATGATACAACAAGTCTTGTCTTTTTTTATCGATAAAAGCTAAAAACCTGGAACACAACAACTTGTTTGCAGTAAGCACAAGTGGTGAATCCTATGGAAGATTTTGTGGTCGGAACTAACGATCCTACTGTGTCTTGATTAAAAGAGGCGCGGAAAATAAAAATTTAAATTATCTTCCTTGTTGCTGATGAAGAAGCCTTTAGAAGTTCTAAATTGTTTGATGGTGATGAAGAATGAAAGGCTGTTTTGAGAGTTCTCACTTTCTATTGAATGAAAATTAATTAGGGTGGTGCTTACTTGAGGATTTAATGTCCTATTCAAAATCCGATATCAAATATTAATGTTGAATGGGGTTTTTCTGGTTGGTTGATGAGACGTGTTTGTTTTTTACTAAAAACTTTTGAATATTCAAAACTCAAACAGTCCTTTGATGATGAAGCAATGAAGCAGTGAATTAATCCACAAAAAGATTCGATATTATTGAGGATGTGTGGTAGGAATAAGAAAATATTCTTCTTGTGCTTTAACCGAGAGAGAAGACAAAAAAAGGTTCAAATTCTGATGCTTCAAAACTCAGTACAATATATTTTCTTGATGATGATGAAAAGATTCTTGATCGTGGAGGTATTAATATTCAGTTGTTGAAGTATTAATTATACTGAATACTGGTGCATTGTTGAGGGAGGTTTCAAATGGTGTTAGGTTGCTTGGAATGTTGTTGTTCATTGACTACTCTACGTACGTAATGTAATATAATTGATTAATTTGAGGATCAATTTTTTTGATTTTTAATTGTAAAAATAGAGAGAATCAAATTGAGGCCATAGAGCGATAGTTTACAATGAGCGGAGAGTTGTCAGTTTGTTGTAGAGTTTGGAATGGTTCACTTCTTTAAGAGTACTCTACTGTTCATTTTGTAATGAAGGTTTTGATAATGTGACAACCAATGGATTACTGACGTTACTTGGTTGACTGCCATCATTGGAGGTTTTCCTTGACGACCGAATTTGTTTTCTCAAGCAAGAAATTGTTCACAAGCAAACAATAATTCAAAAAAAAGAAACAAACATCACACTATTCGAATCAGCCAGACTTGTGATCAAATGGAAAGAAACAACAACAACCCTGACATATTCGATAAGATGAGAGCTCTTAACCAACAAGTTGGCGAAATGATGGAAGAATTCAGAAATGCTACACCTGAAGAACAAGTAAAAATCATGAGTGATTCCATCTCTGTTGATCGTTTTATCAATTTAACAGTTCCCAATATTACAATTGATGATCTCATTGGAAAACCAAAACAATAATAATCCACAAAAACTCAAGCAAGAACTGATTTAGCATAATCCAGAAGAGCAGTTTTCCAATTAATTCCTTTTTCAGTAAAATAAATGTGGTGCTCTTATGTCCATGAAGTGAAAACTTTCATGAATTAACATTTTGCATTTCGAAAGATAAATAAAATTCAGATGTTGATGTCCATTTTGAAAAGATGGATTTTTGCAAAGATACTTTGAAAGAAGATCCAATTCTTCGAAGGTGCAGTGATAATGCTACTGGTTCAACCTTGCCAAAACCACAATATATTATTATTTTCCATGCCATTTTCGAGTTTACTAATACATCACTCACTATCCAGTTATTTCCAAACAGTTCTTGTCCAGGGATTTTACGTTGTTATTGATCGTCATTGTGAAACACGTAATTGCTGATTGCAATCTGCCCTTTTCTACTCGTTTTCTTGCTCGCAAGGGTTTGAGAAAACAATTTTTGAACTCTGAAAGCACTTCAGAGCAATACTTAATAGAATTAATTATTCAAAAAAAAAGTTCATCAAAACGGGCAAACAAAATGAAATCGCCCACCGTGGGGGTCGAACCCACGACCACAAGGTTAAGAGCCTTGCGCTCTACCGACTGAGCTAGACGGGCTACATTCACAACAATAATGCTCTCTTTGTATTCATTTATTACATCTTAGAAAGAATAAAAGTGGTAAGATGCTGTTTGAAATTGTATATTGTTGCTCTTGTTGTTATTTTAAATGTATTCTCTCGGAGGTACTGTAAAATAAAAATTTGCTCTTGCCACCATTACAAAACACGTTCGTTCCAAAAAGGGAAGTTACATCTTCGTGAAGCACAATCGTGATCTGAAGAAAAAACGTGCTTTTGCTTCGTGAATTAAAAAAGCACAATCGTGATCGAGAGCTTTGTAGTATGCACCACAACACAACAATCATATGCGTGAATGCTTAAAATCCAGCAAAGTATTTGATTTCAAAAACACAAAAAAACAACTCGACTTTAAACTGAAAATTTGTGAGAGAGAAAAGAGAAATGTCACTTGTTATGAAAGAGTACAATATTGGACATGATTTGACAACTGAAGAGTATGCATGTGGAGTCAAACTTCAATTCAACTCTACTTCACCCGTTCCAATTGCCAGAGTATTCTTAATTTTACATGCCAATGTCAAAATTATTGACATGCATTTTAATACAAGAAAAGCACTTGGTAAACAACAACTTAGCGATTCTCAAATTAACAAATTGAACAAGTCAAAATCAATGCTTGGAATATTAGATATAGTGAATGAATATGAGCCTGTTGATAAATTACGACCAACTGGAGAGTTGACCATTTCTTTGGAAGAATTTGGTGGGAAAATATTTGATCTCAAGATTTCACTTGCACTTTTCCAAAAGAGAACTGAGAAGGGAAAGACAAGTTCTGGTTCATGTAGAGTGACACAAGTGATTTGTGGCAGTACATGTCACATGTTCTTGTATTCAGAAGTTACAAAGAAGGTAAAGAGAGGAGCTGTAAAGAGATTGAAGGAATATTGTTCAGATGATAGTATATCAGTAGATAGTGTTGACAGCTGTCAGACTAGAAGAAAAAAGAAAAAAGTCAATCAAACTCGTTGTAACTCAATTCAAATTAGAAACCAAATTTCATATGTTGAAAGATCAACTCAAATTGAAAGTGAAAACACTTCAGTGAGTTCATACCTTGATGAGAAATTTGAAAATTTGTTTGAAGATGCTGAAATTTGCAATACTGTTTTTAATTCGAATCAATTGAATCCAACTGTAGTGGAAACTAAACAATCACCATGCGAAAGTTTCATTCTAGAGTCTGGTGAGGTTACTGATTTGGAAATGGAACTTTTGAAGCTTTTGGTTAATGATCATCCTCCAGTCGAAACTGTGGATGATTCTGATGAGTTTTTATCTGAAAGCGACCTTGATTTAGTTAGTCAATCAAGTTTTGATAGTTCCAATAACAGTATTGATGATCTTCAAACAAATTGTAATATCTCACTAACTTGGTGTGCACAGAATAATCCCTTTGATGTGTTAGATCAATTTTCTACTATAAATTAACCTTTAGTTTAATATTTAGTTTAATTAAATATTGGAATGAATTCGCACATGTCTTTGAAAAAGCAAATTCTAGGTCTTTCAAAAACCAAGACACAACTCGAATCAAAGTGTTTATCCATCACTTGTTGAACTGTTTTACGTTGCTCTGCATTCATCTTCTTTCCTTTTGGAGGTGGATAAGCCAAACTCAAATGAGCTTCACTCATTCTCAAATCAATTTTGAGAATTTCCTTACATTTCTCAAAACATTTGTTGAGTAATTCTGCAGAATCGTTATTTCTCACAAGTAAATGACCAGTCAATTTGGAAAGACTTGATTTTTTCATAGTTTCCGTATCAACACGATAGGTTATTTGAGAATTTCCACAAATTTGATCCAATTCTTGTTGTAATTTTTTCAAATTTTCATAATGTTCATCAATGAAATTATTGTAATCTTGACAAGATTCAAAATGATTTCTACAAACAAGTCCACACAATGTCACATGATAACTCTGATAAGGTAACAAGGAGTGAGCCTTCTTTGGGACTGTACTCTCCAAATCCTTGAATAATCTTTCACCAAATTTCAAATCTTGTTCACAAATTTGCATAACAATGGTCAACCCTTCAAATGGTGTGTAATTTCCATCGGAATCTAATTTTTTAATTTCTTTTGCTGGTCTGGCATCGGAACTGTGCAAATCGTGAGCTGTTTTAACTTGAGACATTTTTTTTTAAAGATATTGAAGAGCAATTTACAATATGATTTTTGGAAGTTTCAATTTCACATTTGATGTTGTTAAAACATGGTCTCAAACACTTTTACAATAACAATGAATTTATCTTCCTTTTACAATATGTACTATACAACAATCAAAATTCCAGAACTATTTTTTCTGAAACTCAAATAAGGCTCAATTCCCCATTTGATTCGGATGTTATCATCGGACGTAACAAAACGCACATGTTGGATGGAGAATAAAAATTAATCATCACAAAAACACATCAAAACTTCAACAAACAAAAAAAAACAAACACAAACTTCTTTTGACAACGAATGATTGAATATTTATCTTCCTTTGGGTGGCTTCTCATCGGATCCATTGTTGTTTCCATTGTTTTAATTGCAGTTTTCATGGTGGAACGTTATTTGCAATATACAAAGATGAAGAAACAATTTGTTCATATCGAGAAGGGATATCAACAGTTCATTCCTCCTATTGTGATGAGTATTTTGCCAAAGTGGATGGTTCCGAATGGATACTTGTCCAATCCTGGAATTCCTTTTCAACCAGAAACAATAATCGAGTTGACAAGAGGACAATCTCAAGATTATTATAAAATCATGTTGGGAATGATTGGATTTCCATTCCTTGTCATAACAGATCCTGATATGGGAAAGGAAATTGCAACTAAAGGTGCCAAACTTTACAAGAAGAATGCCATGCAAAAGAGAACCTTTTTAGAATTGTTCCTTGGTTCGAATATCTTTGCTGAGGATGATCATCAAACTTGGTCACATCAAAGACACTTGATAGATCCTGGATTTACTCCACAATCTTTGAGTTTGGTGGCAAGTGTTACAAATAATACATTGGAGAATGATATGGTTCCAAATATTATGAAGGATTTGAAGAGAAGAGATGTTATGAGTGATTTTGCCAAGTTGACTATGGTATGTTATTGAATGAATTGAGAATATTTTAACCTATTACAATAGGATGTTATTGGTAAGGCAGGTTTTGGATATTCTTTCGATTCATTCTATTCTAAACCTGGAGAAGAAACTCTGGAAACCAAAACCAATATCTTTTTAGGAAATGCTGATTTCTATCGTGTAGTTCCAACCCAATTCCTCAGAAAGAATGTAAAAGTTGGCATGTTAGCAAAAATCCATGACTCAGTTGACTCTTTCCGTAATGTCATTAAAGAAATCATTGCCAAGAGAGAACGTGAAAACAATTTGGCAGAAGAATCCAATGATATCCTCTCTCTCCTATTGAAAGAACGTAGAAATAACAAGGAAACTGGAGGAGTTCTCTCAGATGATGAATTGATATCGAATTCTTTTGTTCTTTTGGTCGCTGGCCACGAGTGTATTATTAATTTATCAGAAAAATTATTGTTGTTATTAAATATTATATCATCATTCATATCTCCTCCAACATCATCTAAATGATCAATATTAATATTTGATGTTGAGTTATTATTAGTGTTTAATGTTGTATTATTGGTGCCATTAATATCATCAAATTTATTATATTCATCATCCATTATTTTCTCATCTTCATAATCATATTCATTATTATTTCCACCATTTCCGTCATTATCTTCATCACTACTATCATCATTATTTCCATCATCTTCACTTTCATCAACAAATGATACTTCATAAATTGTATCATCATTATTCAAATTAAACCTTTCACTTCTCTTTTTTACCCGTGATGCTAAATAATTCATTTTTTTTTATTTATTAAATTAATTTATTTCTTTTTGAACCAACTTGATTAATTAAACCATCAATTAAATCAAACACTAAATTACCCTTATTAATAATTTTAATAATATCAATTAATGTATATTTTAATTGATCTTCGATATAGTCTTGTTGTAAATAAAATAAACATTTTCCAATTAACAACATTTTCCACTCAAATGAATAAATATTTACATTATTCATCTCTTCTTTTTGTAAATTACATAAAATATTATTAAATAATTCCAAATATATACTCTTAGTACTATAAGTGTCAAAAGTATAATCATTTTTACCTGAAAAACTATCCAAATTATTATAACTCATCCAAGCATGACCAATAGAGATAGTAACAGGTGATAAATTAATTGTACCATGAGGTAAGGTTTCTGGAAATACAATACCTTCACCCCTTTTACAAACACATATATGAATTCCAATAGATTCTAAAAATAACAAATCAATACTTCTTTTTCTTGTTAAAAAGTAAATAATTAAATTATGAAGATGTCTATTTATATCAAAATCTAAATATAGACTTGCCATTTCTTCATTTTCAATTTCCAAATTATTATTCATAATACAAGGTGGAACAAAAAAGTAATATAATTTCAATCCACATAAATTATAATGAATATTCTTGATTTTTCTAATATAATCATTAGTATCAATATGTAAAATGGTTCCAGTAAAACTGGATAATGATATCCAAAGATCATTAAATAAATTTTCCAATGCATTTTTAGGTGATAATATTTTAACTTGATCTTCTTTAAAATACTTATGAAAATAAAATCCATTTTCTCTTTGTTGAAAGTTATTATTAGTATTATTTAATATTTCTTTAATATCTTTAATATTTGTAATAAATTTGTTATGATTAATAATTGAACTATAATTAGAAATATCTAAATCAATAATATTTTGTTGTAGTGTGTTATTAGTAATTTCAGTTAACATTTTCAATTCTTCTTCATTTATCTTGAATTTAAAATATAAATTATTTGCTTCTAATGATTTATCAGACAATTCTAAAATTTCACTATTGTTAACTAAATCTTGAAAGAGAGAATGTGAATTAATATGAGACTTAAAATGATTCTTTATATCACAATCACTTTTACAAATTAAACATTTATCATCGGATTGAACATTTAGATCTTTGTTAGGTTCAATTAATTCAACAGCATCTTTATGAAACTTTTTTAATTCTTCCTTAAAATCAATATTACATTTGTTTCCATCAACAACAGGATTAGTAATTGTTTGTTTAATTTTTGACTTTAATTGTTCCGATAATGCTTTGTTGGTCTTTAAATTAGACAACGAAAGCTGTTTCATTTTTTTATTAGGATGAACATGGCTGCAGTGATGAATATTTATATTGGTGGCTGGTGATGTATGAAGCAACCGTGATGAATATTTATAATGGTGGGCAATGTAATTTAAAGCAACCGTGATAAATATTTATAATGGTGGCAACTGTGATGAATATTTATAATGGTGGCTGGTGATGTCTCTTGTTTTCACATTAACAGTATTGGCTTTGTTTGGTCTGTAGTAAGAAACTGAGTGTTCTCCGTCTCATCCGTCCCCAGTTTCATTGTCACTTAGTACCATCTTGATTTCATTCCTTTTAGTTTATAAATAATAATTATTGTATTGTTAATAATAAATGGTTAGATCTGTTCCTGATTTGATGGTGTGTTGCAGAGGTTAATATTTAAAAAATAATATTTAATAAAAATAATATTTTATTTATTGTTTCTCAACCAAACAGATTTCAAGATATTGTAAATTCCTTTTTCATATGAATCCATATAATGTGGATTTCCATTAACAATTTCCTCTTGCTCTAATTCTTCTTCACAATCATCACGTCTCTTCTTCTTTTCTTTGTCTTCATCTTCAACTGTTCGCTTTCTTTTCTCTTGCTCTTCATTGAACACAAATTTGGAAATTTGATTTTCCAAATTTCCAAATATATCAGCTTCGTTGATTTGTGTCTGAGATTTGGAAATCTTGAAGAAAGTGACGTGCTCTTCTTCAGTAACAAGTTTTTTCAACTTGTTCTTTTCCTTTGAGACATTTATGTACATGATCATTGCTTTCTCATTGTACACAAATGAAACATTAATTGGATTGTTTACTTAATTGTATTAAATAAAATAATAATATTAGAATATACATACCAGGGTTGGCTTGTTCATGAATTATCTTGCTTGTCTTACCACCACAGTATTTCTTAGCCTCATTAATCAAGACATTTTGGAAAATACTATTAATATTCTCTACGAGAATGACCATTCTTGTGGGTTTTGAAGAAATTTTCAATTTAGAAAGCAAATCTCCACTCTTAAGTATTTCTAATTGGTCCTCTACGTTTATCATTTTTAATCTCATTCAAATGTAACAATATTCTTAGATATTGAGCTTTTAATCCTTCTTGTATAAATGACAGTGATAGGTGTATCAATTCATGAAACATGCTTATTTTCCGAGACAAGGTCATTCCTTTCATATTAAATTCATTGGTTGGAAATAGGTGAGTACATGATTGAGTGACTTTCTGATTGGATACTTGACTTGTATCTATTGTAAAGATTGTAATATCATGACATCTTCCATTTTATAAAGCCTAAAGATATTTCAAGAAGATACTCTTGTCATTCAGAATATTCTGAACGGGTTTATAAGTTAATGAATGTGGAGTGCTGTTTCTTAAAGTGTAAAATATTTATTCGATAAATAATACTGGTCTGTTTTAGAGTTTTTGATTAATCTTGCAGTGTTACTATTGGGATTGTATATTTCTTATTGTTAATTCATGGAATTGGTTCTTTCGTTGTGAATTGGATCTTTCACACACGTTGTGAATTGGTTCCTTCGTTGTGAATTGGTTCTTTCACCCCAATGTGAATTGGTTCATTTCACACACGTTGTGAATTGGTTCATTTCACACAATGTGAATTGTATTTATTGTTTGCACTTATTCAATATCTTTGGTTTTCTAAAAACATCATCATTCAATTGTTCAAAGACGTTATATACTCTTCATCATCATCATCATCTTCATTATGATTAATCAACAAGATATTAAATTAGTAAGCAATTACTTTGTCAACCAGGGTGATAAAGAAGAGTTTCTTCATCTTATCGAACCAATTTCTTTTGCTCTTCTTGGATTGGAATCATGTGGAAAGAGTACATTCTTGAGGGAGTATTTACAGGTTCCCTTAGGTGTTATTCAATTGAATGTTGGTACTAAATGTCCTTTCGTTTATCATGTTCATCCAATTCATGAATATGATAATCATTCTGGTGGTAATATTTATCATTCAAATACTATTATTACCGACGATAATACCACTGGTGCATCAAACAGTGGTGGTGGATTCACAAAATTGATTGTGAAAATCACCAAATTGAATTGTTCAATGGAGTTTGATTTATCTTCTTCAACTAATTTTGAAAATATTAGAAATATTATCAACATGAAGGTAACTGAATTAATCAGCAAGTATACATCATTTTCCTATGACATTGATGTTTTCACAAGTGAATGTGTCCATCTTCATCTTTTTGGAGACAACATTGTAATTCCCTACAGGATTACGGATTTTCCAGGGATGAGATTGAACTCTGGTAGTGAGTTTACCAACTCAATTATTGGAAACAATCTCTCAATGAATGATCACATTCTTCTATTCGAATTAATGGACACCACTGTGGGTTCATCGAATATAAGTGGAACAATTGAGAAGCTTTTAATTCCTAAAGGATTAAAGAATTTTTCAATAGTGAAAACAAAAGTGGATAGATCCACTGATATTAATAGTGAAGTATTCAATGGTTTGTTTAGACAATACCATTCAAAGGTCAATAACATTTATTGTATTGCCTTTGAAACAAACCCTACTAAGGGTGCTTCAAAGGAACAAATCAATGATATTCTATTAGATTATCAAAATGTTATTAGTCAAAGTGAAAATACTCTTCACCAATCATTTTTTTCTTTTAATATTAATTTTATTAATAATATTATTGAAAGTGATTTCAAGAAGAGGAAACAATTTCTTATTTTCCTCTTTTCTAACATGCTTGATTCAATAGAATTCAAAGAGAATGAGTTTCAAACTCTCTCCAAGCATGAGAATGCTAACATTACTCCATTCCTTGCGGCATTGCCATTATTCAAGGGAATATTCTTTAACAATATCAATGAATCAACATTGATAGTATTTATTAATATTTTACATATATCTGATTCAACAGTGGAATCCATTAATACCATTATTCATAACTATTCCAATAATTATAGTGTTAGAATTAAGGAACATGAGGAATCTGATATAGATGATCAATACTATTTTCAAATATTTTCGAAATCTTTGAAAGTTTTGTTAACTAGTAACAAGACTCAAAATAGGCATTTCACAACAAAGAATACCAAAGCACATGATCTAAAATCTGTATTGAAACAGGAACTATTTTACCTGAAATATTTAATTTTGAACATGCCATTTCATTCCTTTAAGGGAGATGTTCAGAACTATTCCAAGCCTAATAAGTCAGCTGTTGACGAGTTATGTAAGGCTCTAGATTTGATTGGAAATGATGAAAGAACGGACAATTCTAATAGTATTGAAAATCAGAAGGTGTTCTTAAAGATGGTCACTGGTGCCATCAATGGTTTGATTCGTGGATTTTGGTTAAAGATATTATTCCACTTGAAGAACATTCTTCAATTATTAGGAGATGTTACAGCATGCTATGTGGAAAGTACCGTTAATATTTCCAAAGATATTTTGGAAATGTACAGTTTCATAATGAAGGAATCATTTTTGGAAAGATTAAATTCAAGAATTGAGGAGAGAAATCTTTTATGTATTGATTTTGAAATTGTTAACAATGGATTGGTAGATAGGAATGCAGAGTGTTTTAACTCATGGTATGAAAATGTATCTAAACATCTTATTGATTGGTCAAGTAAGGCTGTAAGTAATCGATTTGCAGAGTTTACAGAGTTAGTGGATGAAATTTTTGGTCAAGTTAAGAATGATTATGCAATGATTGCTGATAAAACTATTGAAAAGAGAACAATGGAATATAATCTTATTACTGAAAAGAAGAGAAGATTGACAGAATTGATCAAAGAGTTAAAAAAGTAGATTGGTAATGAGTAAATTGAATTGTGTCTGTGCAATTCTGATTGTATTCTTGTAAAGTCGTGATGGTACCTGTCAGGTACCGTCACAGGTACTTCACAGGTACGATTTTTACCATCACAGGTACCATCACAGGTACTTGGCAGGTATCACAGGTACCATCAGGTACCACCACAGGTACCATCACAGGTGCAAATGGTACCTGACAAGTACAATCACAGGTACCGTCACAGGTATCTGAATTTCCTCACAGGTACCGTCACAGGTACTTGGCAGGTATCACAGGTACCATTAGGTACCATCACAGGTACCGTCACAGGTACGAATGGTACCTGACAAGGAACATCACAGGTACCGTCACAAGTACTTGGACCATCACAAGTACCCTTACAAGGACTTGTAAGGTGCTCAACAAGTACCTACAGTGTCTGACAAGTATGGTACCTCACAATAACCACACAGCTACAACAAACACTATAACAAATACTTTTTATATCTCCTCCAATCAACTATATTTATTTGAAATATTTGGATTTCTTAATAGGTCTATGGACATTATGATCATTATCTGAATCAGAACTAATACCACCTCTATCTGAAGAATCTTCTTCAACATCTTCTTCTTCATCATCTTCTTCATCCTCACAATGATCAGCATTTCCAAAGCAAATATTGTACCAAATTGGAGGACCTTCATCAGACTTGTTACAATCATCTTTATCCATTTGCTTTTCAAAGAATAACTCCATTTCAAAGGCTTCAAGTTCTTCATTCAATTGAATAACATCCTTAACAGGTGGTTCTATGATAGCTTCCTCTTCAATATAACCATTCTCATTGTAACGATTGATGAGAAGAACTGTTTCCTTTGAAGTGTCAAATATCTCTTCTTCCTCCTTCTCATTAAAGTCAATACTTTCATCATCTGCTATAATTGCAGATTCCTTCTTTTCATACTCCACAATTAAATTCAAACCACTAACATCTGGTTTGATTACAAGACTGGAAAGCGTGTCTTCATTTAGAGATGGCAAATCATCATATGGGAAAACAATACTTTGAGTTTCACTAACGGATGAGTATCCATCTTGATCTGCTCTAGCCATTTCGATAGAATCATCATCAGTGAGTGCATCATCTTCTGTTAGAATCAATGGTTCATTAAATACATCAACTTGTTCTTCCATCTGAGTTTCTGCACTTGATATAATCAATAAAGGTTGAACCAATTCATATCTCTCATTGGTGTAAGAGTAAAGGTCAATGTCATCATTGTTTAATAACAAGTTTAACAATGTTGAATTACTAGTCTGTGAAAGCACTTTTCCCTTCTTACTAAACTCTCCAACAAATGCTTGGAAATTGAATTCACTATTACATTGTTCCAACTCTTTGAAATAAATCAAAGAAGGGTTCATTTCAAGTAAATCTGCCAAATCTTCTAATTTACTATCCATGGATAAAAAGTCATCATGCTTCTTCTCCTTAAAAATCAAAAGTAAGAGACAAAGTGCAAAATAATCACAAGAGTAATCTGCTGATAATCCATTAATATCATCTTGATTGATAGGATCGTTACCAAGCCAAAAAGATGTCAATTCCTTCCTTAGCTTGATATCCAAATAACAGAAATCACTGACAACTTCACTATAAAATTTCTTCTTTACTAATTCTTCTACTAAACACCACTTGTTGAAATATGTATTGTACAACATGATGGATTATTCCTTTTTTTTCAAAAACAAAAGCTTTCACACAACCTCAAGTCGTGTGAAATGTCTCACACTCTAATATTTTAATATTTTTATAAGGCTTGAATAAATATATATATTGAAAAGGGATTGACCGAAACTGGAAGACACATTAATTGGATATCTAAAGAGACCAAACAAATTTTCCTCAGAATTGAAGAGTCATATCGCAACGTCCCTCAAGACATCCACACAACTTTGCAAATTAATACAATTGAGAAAAAAAAAACTACTTTTATTTTCGACTCAACTTTGTTACAAGTAACAACACATCAAATTCCAACACAGAACTCAATATAGCAGAATGATAAGAAAAAACTGGTTAAAAGAAGAAGAAGATCTTTTGGTCAAATTGGTAAAGGAAAAAGGCCACAATTGGACTGAAATTGCTCCCAACTTCGATGTTACTCCAAATGCCTGCCACAAAAAGTATAAGGATTTGTTAAAGAATCTTGGCAGGAAAAGATCGTTCTGGACTGAC